ACAATGGCACTTCCTTTTTTTTTTTTTTTTTTTTTTTTCCCCAGTTTATTATTGTGGGATCCCCTTATAATACATGTGGATGTATGAAGTGGTTTTCCAAGAAGAACTGGCAAACCCTGTCACATCCAATTTTGTTACCAAACTGTGGACTATATAAACTGGTGTCCTGCTTTTAACATTTTAATGGGAAATAAAGAACTGAATCCTTCTGATTACATGCAAACATCATGTGGGAAAGGCACCCAAGCCCAAAAGCATGCTATTAAATGTTAGCGTGAGCTTTCTACACTTAAAATACAGGCAGAGTACTAAGCTATTCATACCATTTCACAGCTGAACAAACAATGTGCAGAAGATGGACATCAGCTCTATACAACCTCCAGCACTGGTAGAGCATTTTCTGGGGGGTTGGTGTAGAGTTTTAGGTTAGTGTGCGTGCAGTCCTAGGCCTCTCCACTTTTAAACAATAAGCAAGAATACTTTGGGAAATTTATATCCATAAAAAAATGCATAAAAAAAGCAAAAATTAAAAAAAAAAATGAAGAAGTGGGTCTTCTTGTTCTCAAAGGTATTTTTCCCTTTTGCTCGCAGCTGGACTTCTTTTGCACTCCTGCATTTTAAGGGATGCAGCTTTGTCTTCTTGAGCTTTATCCCTTATGGTTGCTAGGAACTGAGCTACGACTCTGCAGTCCAAAAAATGCTGTACAGGCCCAGAGCTGAACTGCTTAGCTGGAGTCCCTTCTGCTTGCTTACTGCTTGCTTTCTATAGGGGTTCTCAAAGAACCAACATGAAAGAACATCCTGACATCAGATTACATGGAAAATAAAGTCCCTGTTGTGAATAAGAAATCAGTGCTTTTTATCCTGCTGTCTCTGTCTTTGTCTTGCTTAAGCCTGATCTGGAACAACCACAGGGATGTAGGTCTAACCATGGTGCTCAGAGGATGCTGTCACCTTCTTGCAGTTCAGGAGCTGAAAAGGGGAAATGTGTTTGCAAGAAGAGAAATAAATATTCATGTTTAGAAACAGAATTGTGGAAAAAAAAAAAAAGGAAAATACAGACATTTTGTCAAAGTGGAAAATTTCACTGCAATTTTCAGCATAAGAGATTAAAACACAAATGCTAGATATGCCCTACCTCAGGCTATCCAGAGGCTGCTCTGCTGTCCTTTTTTACAGATGTCACCCACACTGAAAACCAACTGATGGAAAAAAAACTGATGGAAAAAAACAAGTAATTTCTCTAATCTATTGCATCCTTCAGAGAAGCAATTCAGTCACAAAATTGTATTAATAAATAATAATAATAATAAATCCCGCTGGAGTCAATAGTAAGATAAGCATTTCAGCAGTGTGATCTAATAAAATTGCTTATACCTCATGCCAGCAAAAGTTCAAAGACCCTGCAGGGACAGTGCAGAAATCAATGATTCTAGGCTGAATGTGAAAAGCATGTCTAGTTATGGACTTTAGTGTGCTCGTTAACGTCTGAACTTTTTCTGGAGGCTACGTTTTACTAAATCATAACACTGAACTATTCATCTTACCATCAAATTCAAGGGATGGAGAGGGAGTTGATATTATTATCTTGCTTAATTTCACCCATTCGCCTGCTGCCATGAAACATCACCATGCACCATATAAATGTTCTAACTGTGCTGGCATTCATAATTTGATTTTAAATGTCTTTGGTATGCTCCTCTGAAGTAGAGGTTGGCCTGGGGTGAAAAGATTGTGTTCAACTATAGAGCTTTCATTAAAAAAAAAAAAAAAAGTGTGGAGCACTAATATATTTGATATCGTAGTACAGTCAGCTTGTTGATCGTGTCTCTTCCAACTACTGAACTGAGCAATTTAATTATCTAAATTATTGCTGATATGAGCAGGAAGCAGACCATGTAAAAGAGAGATGGATTTTTTTTTCTCCCTTTCCATCAGCCTGTACCATCATCTATCTTTGCTTGATGCTTTTTAAAAAAAATAATGCAATGGCATCACTGGAACATATGCATCTTCCTAGACCTGATTCAAAGCCAACTGTGGTTAATGAAAAGAAGGGCCATTGATTTCAATGGGTTTTATGTCAAAACCAATGTGAATGATAGAGGAAAAATCCTATGCTAACATCAGAGCAGCTGCTGAGGTATTTTGTTCAGCTAGAGCTGATCCCAAATGCGCTGAAAGCAAAGAGGAGCCTCT